CAGTGATAAATCTTGTCCACCATCTCCATTGATACCCTTTTCAAATTTTCTAAAAATCCTGATGCTAGCAGTTTCAATATCACTATGGGAAGATTGAAACAGTCATAAAAGCAGTTCCGTTATGATCTTTTTTTTCTGCCTAGACTAAACTCCCGAGTTTCGACTCATCTTCTCAGATTAGGTTACGTATCTGTGCAGTTTTTTTAACTGAAATACTAGAATCAGGCATTTGGGGAACAAATTTGGTACATCGATTGTCATCACTGATACACGTTGTAAAGAAACATTTATAGGCAGTACATGATGCTTGCTAGTTTAAAGTATTTCCACATAAGGAGAAACTCACCTGTCCTGCATGTGATTCGGAACCTGGTCTACAACCAAATCCTCCATCAAAGTTCATACAGGACAAAACGAATTCTACTGCTTTTCCCACATCAATAGCATCCAGCTTTCCCTGCAAGTCAGAAAATAACTAATGCGTTTGATATTCTACCAAGCTCATCTGCAGAAACTTCAACAGTACCAAAGAGCAGTACCATTCAATTCTCTGCTTGTGCAAGTGATGGTTTAGGACTTACCAGAAGTGCAAGAGTTGCTGCAGCACAGAAAGAGAATCTTGTATCTATTTCTCCTATAATGTGGGGGTAAGGAATTAAATAAGATTATTTTTTCAACAAACATGCATTTAAATCGCTACTGAAAATATGAAACAAAATGTTAAAATCCTAGGTTCTGCATCAAAAAACAGCTAAAAAAGTCTCCCCATAAAATTTAATCTTCCAGCTTATCAATTATTTCCCCAGTAATTTAGAAAACATATGTTACAATTTAAGTGATCTGTATGTTTTACTATGCATAAAAGCCAACAACTCATTTAGAGCTGGACAGCTATATATCCAAATCAATTCAGCTAGTGGTAATTTACAAACAACTGTTTCATTTTAGAGTTTATCTGTAGTGCTCTACAGATAATTGCACAGAAATGGAAATAATGCATAAATAATCAGACAACTCTTGCTTTGCCTTAAATCCAGCCAGAAGTAGAAGCCGCTTCTCGTTTTAGGGAAATCTAATTTAAGAAGTTTCTTTTCCATATTTGTACCTGGAAGAAAAACCGAAGTTCCTACACCTATAACAGAATGATTGCTTGTCAAGTCCAATCCAGGCAATTAATACTCGGAGTCAATTTAAAATTGAACTGAGCTGCAAACATTTGGTTTCTTGGTGGAACTTCTGCAAGACTTCTTAAGAAACTCACAAGCTGAAACGCCTAAATCAAACATCTGCTGCTCTGTCCCACATCAGTAATCACACTCCTTCAGCTGTACCTCTCGGAAATAACATCAATCCATTGTGCAATCGGTACACTTGTGACAATACTTCAACAAAAAGGATGTGGCAAACTACGAACCAATTTAGCACGTAGCGTATCATCTACCTTTACAGTAGCATACATATACTGCTAAGATCTCAGTTGCTGAACTTTACCTGAACAAGAGTGATATGCAATAGATTTTCTTAAAATTTGGGTCTTCCATGGTGATAAATACTTTTAGAGTGACTAAATATTTATGCCACAGCTTAAAAATGCCATGTTATATACATATACATATATATACATGAAATTATTATATTATATTATATTACATTACATTACATTATATTATATTATATTATACATACACATATTACGGAATTTATATGCAGAAGCAAAATCAGTATTAATAGAAGTTCACGAGTACAAACCCAGTTCTTCTCACTCCCACATAGTGAAAAATCCTTTCACAGTTGTCATGGATATAGATCATTACTAACTACCATCAAATGGCAAGTATAAAACGTTCCTTATGAAACAGCATATCTAGTATATCAAAGTACTGTGAAGTTAAAAATGCCCAGAAGTCTTCTTCTTTAAGAATTGAACACTTTATTCTTAATATAAGAATGGAACTGAAGCTGAGAATATGGAAGGGCAGAAACATAATTCTGTCCTTCACAAACCCTTCTTTTTCACGACTCAGAAAATAAGTGTTCACATATACATATGCAAAAAAAAAATCCAAGAAAACTTAAGTTTACAGACTTACACAAGTCAACCCAGACACTACGTTTAAAAGATCTAAAAATTACCCCATTCATCTCCAGCAAACGATCCATCTTCTTTCTGCAAGCTCTGTATATATTCAATGATTTTATTTACATCAACTACATGGAGACTATCATATAAGGTAAGAATCTGGGTGGGGGGAAAAAAAGACACAGTAACAATCAAAGAGAAGCAAAAATTTTAAAAATTTATTTCTTAACAAAAAAAAATAGAAATCACGAATTTATAAAAGACTTGATTTAATTAACACTGAATAGTATTTGGTAAGGTTTATTAAACTTTTTTCCCACTTCAGTAGTTAATCTCTGCACTGTAGATTATCTCTGTCTAAAAACTTTAGGACATTGGAACTTGTGAAAGGAGCTGGATTGGATGGTTTGGAAAAGTTCAAGACATCACAGCCTGGAGAAACTTCAGTGTCCTGGTTCTCACAGTATTCAGAGTAATTCTAGTGCTAAAGTAATTGGTAATAAAGATCAACCTTAGGACATCCTGTCCTACATAAGGAGTTCAAACCCAGTACCTTAAATCCAGCATAGTTTCTGCCTAGAAAAGAATGCTGTATTATTTAGTTGTAATGCCATTAAAATACTTCCTCCATAAGACAGAATGAGAGATGCACACTGCAAATAACCAAGCTAATTGTTCAGAAGTGTTCGAGCCTTTTCGGTGCTTTTTCACACAACGGTTTGCATGACCAGAACAAACCAAAATGAAAAACCAGAACAAAACAAAGGCACAAGTGATAATGAGAAAATAAGTCTATAATGGAGAGAATTGCAGTGAAAAAATAAGATTGAGAGCCGCTTCTTATCAGGGGGAGCGTATGCACAAATAAAGAAATTGAATGCCCAAAAGACTACTACAATTTTTAAATTCTACACCCCCCAAAAAACTCATAGAAAAATAAAAAAATTTACTCTTATTCTGGTCATACATATCTATCACCTCAACATACATGAAGAATAATTTATAGAATCAAAAATTATCTATAAAATGTTCCAGTAAAACCTGTAGCTAAGGAGTATTTCAAGATAACTTACAAATTTGGCAACAATCCAGTAACCATTAATTGACCATGAAAACATTCTCAAAAATTACGTTTAGAAAGCGATACAGCTGGTTGTTTTTTTTTAAATTAGATACTGAAATAATTTTTGCCATGGGCTTCCAACAGTAACTGGTTCATAAATCTGCAATCATCAAAATCTTAATCACAGACACTTTTTTCTAAAATTACTCTGCTACACTCACCTGGACAGCACTGAGGGTATACAGAAGATGAGGATCATGACCTATGCTGGCACTTATTCCACCACATTCATGTTGACACGATTTGATGAATGACAAAATTTCTTCTTTGTTCATTCGGTGCAGCTGCCCCATGAGATCCATTGCTGTCAGTCCCCAGTACACACCACTCATCCTCAAATACTCTGACATGCAGTATTCCTGAACAGTGCATTATTTTAGTTCTCGGTCAGATAAGCACACCGTCAATATAGTGCAATGAACATTAGTTAACTTTCACAAATAGCTTCTAGTTAGTCAACTACTTCCATCCATTTAGCAACTACGCATCAGCCACTCACGGATATTCTGTACATCGTGTACATGTGTATATACACACACATACAGGGAAATGCACATGTAGATACCAACACATACTACACTCCCTTCCTCTCTGTATTTTTATAGCTCAAAGCATCATTGAGCTCAATGTCAAATCAGGCACAAACAAGTAGCTGTGTGCCAATTCACTTCTGATCACTTATTATCTTGGCATTCAAGAAGCCCTCAAAATGCCAACCCAACTAGTCTCAAAAAATAAAAAGTCTATTATTTCCCAGTGCCAAAACTCTCATTATTTGAAGTTGCGCTAGGAAGTGAAATTTTATATTGAATTCTCTTACGCTGATTATATCAACTACATTACACAAACATTAATTTTTACACGCAGTACAATCAAAGGCAACAGTACTTGGCGTGCTTTTGAGTAAAGGGAACCGCACCTTTTCTTCACATAGGCAGCTGCTGACAGTTTTCACCTGCTGGAAGCAGAATCCCATTGCTGTGGACTACATCCAACCACTTGTGACTACAAAATTTACATAAGTTGTCCCATCAAAAGAGTAACATGCAAACGCAACTCTACTTGTGCGTTCCAGTGGATGAAGAAGTTAGTAGCTTGTTTTTCAGGTCTCAGAGTAATTATAGAGCTAAAATTATAATCTTCAAATTTATAGTCAGATAATACATGCTAAATCTCATCACAGACCTAGAGAAATTAACAAAGGCACCTGTATTTTATACTTTGGATGGCAGGGTAAAAAAAAAGTAGCTTGTCAACATGCATCTAACCCTTAACTCTGAGACAATAAATAAATAAATAAATAAATAAATAAATATTACTGTTAACAAAACCACAGCTGTACTGTAACAAACTGATACCTACATAGTCATCTTTCTTTGTTCCATATGAAGCAATATAGTCTGCATGTTTTTCTGAAAGTAATGTGCTTGGGGCATCGGGTTTTATGATAACATCCTTTTGCGGTGTCCCCTGTAAAAAGCACCATCAAGACAGTTGTAATGTCAGGTCAAAACTTTTTAGTACCTTGGTATAATATAGCAAACACCGGTAACTGTGACTGGGAAAAGACATCTCTCTAGCTATTTTGAGCCTAGGACAGGTTGCATATCTCACGCCATCACTGTTTAGCCTAGCTAAATCCTCCCCTGGAAAAGTCTGTGAACCAAACCTTGCAATAAAGCTAAGAAATAACACCAACTCGCCAAGAATAACCTGAAGTGCCGGACGCAAGAGCCCTTCCCCGGGCCCGGCCGTGCCGCCCCGCGCCCCCGTGAGNCGAGCGGCGCCGCCCGCCCCCCCGCGCCGTGCCCTTCGTGAGGCGAGGGGCGCCTGTGGCGTTGTGAATTGCTGCAGATAGTCTAGTCTGAAACAGGTAGTAAATGCAAAATACCTTAACTCCAGCTGAAGTGGGAAGTTTAGAGATGTGCTACTAAATTGGGATTATTAAAAGGTACAATATGTTTTTATTCTTTAAATATATGACTCAAAGCATATAGTTTTACTTCCTCAAAACACTTATTCTAAAAATTACCACATACAAGACAAATACTAGTTTTGTACTCGCAGACCAGCATGCCCTTAACTTGTCTAAGCTGGGCAGTTTACTTTCTCCTTATATGAAGCTAGTTTGTTTCTGTAATCAGTCGTCTTGTCTTCTAGTTCAACTATCTTTGAGATGCAAGTGGAAAAAGAAAAGAATCTAATATGCAGGGAGTACAGGTACACTACAAGTGATTAAATAAATGAGCTTTTCCGGTTTTCATATTTCTTGCCTAACGTTCAACAGTCAGTTTTACCTAGTTAAAAATAGTACTTTTTTGTAAAGAGAGAGCTAGCATCAGTATCTCTAAGGCCTCTTCTTTGACCAGCACTAGCTAAAATTAAAACTCACTGTGTGTATTTACAGTCAAAATTGTCCAACTTGCTTCTTATTCTTTCAAGGCATACTACTTCTCATTTATTGGCACCTGCCAATACAGTAGTTCTCAAAGACTCTCTTGCAGCCATTCAAAGTAGTCATCCTATTGCAGACCATTCTGAGTAATTCCTTTTCTGGAATAATAGCTTTAAAATTATGTTTCATGAATAGTTCCTCTATGTTGTGAAAACGAAAAGATGGTTGTACATAAGCATCTGAAACTGTTCAGTTGTGTAACAGTATTTTTCTTTAGTGGTATACTTATTTTATTATTAGTTTAGAAATGAACAATAATTCCTGGCTTGTTGAACAAGAAATAACAGTCTTCACCTTTCTTCCAATTTGGATCCTTTGGTAAAGGCTTTGCTTGCCGGAGTTTTTGGATCTGGATTGGTACATGCTAGCAAAAAATACCCAGTGTAAAACAAAGAAGATGGATACAGTTTATGCTCACAATTAATAAGATATATAGCACTTTAAACATTTTTATGTGCATTTCTACCATATAATAAATTCTGTCTCTGAGTTAACAACCTTGCTTTCTTGCTCATCCTGAAAATAAAAGGAGAGGGAGCAAGAGAGTAGAAGTTTCAAAGATTCAAGGTTTCGTAAGATTTAATAAAATTATTCAGATCAACATGCAAAGATTCCCTACTTTTTCCATGTATTCTAAGTCTTTAGGATATTAACACCTTCCCAAATAGTACAGAAGAAACCTATTCATAGCACATACATAAAAATTAATGCTTAGGACATACATTCTCGGATGTAAAAGTTTGAAATCACCTGATTTCAAAGATCTTCATTTTATTTTTCTGAATGTAAGTTGTAAATAACTATTTCTCTTAGAAATTAAACAGCTTTTATGGTACTCAGTAATGTGATAGATTGTCTTTGGTGGGTCTGCCTTCAACAAGAAAATAACTAGAAAATTCAGTTTTTGGGTAAGTGTATAAAGTTTTTTCCTGGAATTCAGGGAAATTTCTGTGTTGTGAATCACTGTGATGTAAGACACTATTTAAGAGGTTTATATGGTAATAGCATGCTCCAGACAACAGAGTCATATCTGCAATCTTTGACAGATGGAAAACATCTTCTTTTCAGAAATTAAATGTTACACTACAATCTAACAGCGTTTCTAGCTTCACTAGGAGTAAAAGGTGTTTCTAGTAGAATCACATTTCATTTTGATAGCTGCAGGAGGCCATTCTTGGGTATGGAGCCATGATGTCATCACTCATTTTGCTTTTTAGGCTTTGCATATTACTCAGGACTGCATTTGTATATGCTATCGTGATAAACTGGGCAGAAATTAAAATGTAATCCACTGAAATGCAGAGAACATTCATATCTATATCTGAAGGATAGGTGTTTAAAGAATTTAACTGAGATCAGAGGGGTGGGGTAAAGCCACTACATAACAGCATAGAACTATGACACCAGTTAACATACCAGTTTGCTTTCTCCCCATTTGTGATCCACATCTTCTAACTGTTAATAACGTATTCATCTCCTTTCTTCTCAGCTTTTGTTTTTATACCAGACACATCAGAGCCTGCTCCAGGGCCTGTTACACAGTAAGCCTAAAAGAAATCAAGATGTGACATCTTGGGGAATAGAAGTTCTATTTTTAGTCAGCTACAGATTAATGCAGATTAAGAGCATCAAACTAGCTGTCAAAGGTTTAAGTGAACTGCATTGTAAAATCCAAACACCAAATAAACAAAACCCCTCAATAAAACCCCAAAACAACCCAACACCCGGCCCCCTCCCCCCTGCAGACAGCTGGCTGAAAATATAATTTTCTTTATAAATCTGTAATAATACATAAAATTGGCTTTCAATCAAACAGAAACGTTCTGTAACCCTTTAGTTATTACATCCTCAGGCTTCAAAAATTCTGATGTGAAAGCTGAGGATCTTTAAAGTCTGAAAATAAGAGCAGTGAGTAACATTTTATGTTTACTGAGTCCTTCAATTAAGGAGGCTTAGTTGTAGATTTACATACATTGCACACAAATCTCTGCTTCTTTCTATGTAACAAGTACTGTTTATGTAATATTTAAGATCGTGTCCACAAGTGTTCAGGTCTGCCCCAAGGTGCCCCGGTGTGCCCAGGTGTGCCTGGTCATGCCCAAGTGAGCCCAGGTGTGCCTGGGTGTGCCCCCGTGTGCACGGGTATGCCTGGGTGTGCCCTGGTGTTCCCAGGTGTGCCAGGGTGTGTCCCGGTGTGCATTCGTGTGTCCAGATGTGCCCGACTGTACCTTGGTGTGCCCGGGTGTTTTCCAGTGTGTTTGGGTGCGCCCAGGAGTGCCCAAGTGTGCCCAGGTGTGCCCGGTTGTGCCCACGTGGGACCTGGCGTGTGCTGCTGAACCCGGGTGTGACCGGGTGTGTTTGGATGCACTCCAGTGTGCCCCAGTGTGCTCCGGTGTGCTAGGGTGTTTGAAGGTGTTCTCCGATGTTCCCAGCTGTGCCCCAGTGTGCCCATGTGTGCATGGGTGTTCTCCGGTATGTTTGGGTGTGCCCGGGTGTGTCCTGGTGGAACCGGGTGTGCGCTGGTGTTTGTGGGTGTAACTGGGTGTGTTTGGATGTACCCAGGTACATCCCAGTGTGTTTGAGTGCGCCCAGGTGTGCCCTGGTGCGTCCAGTGTGATTGGGTGTACACAGGTGTACACAGGTGTGCTCCGGTGTGTCCAGGTGTGTCCCGGTGTTCCCGAGTGTTTCGGTATGCCCTGGTGTGCCCTAGTGTGCCTCGGTGTGGCCCGGTTTATCCGGGTGTGTTCCAGTGTGCTTTGGTGTGCTCTAGTGTTTTCGGGTGTGTCAAGGTGTGCCCAGGTGCGCCCAGGGGGGCCCGGGTGTGCCCGAATATGCTCGAGTATTCCTGGGTGTGGCCGGGTGTTCTCAGGTGTGCCAGGGTGTGTCCCGGTGTGCACTCGTGTGCCCTGATGTGCCCGACTGTACCCCGGTGTGATCGGGTCTGCCCGTGTGTGCCTCGGTGTGCCCGGGTGTTTCCGGGTATGCCCGGGTGTGCCGCGGTGTGTTTGGGTGTGCTCCAGTGTGCCCGGGTGTGCCCCGATGTGCCCTGGTTTGGCCAGGTATGCCCTGGTGTGGCCGGATGAGCGCCGGTGCCCCCAGGTGTGCCCAGGTATGCCCGTGTTTGCTTAGGCGTGCCCCTGTGTACCCAGGAGTGCCCCAAAGTGCCTTGTTCTGCCTGGGTTTGCCAAGGTGTTCTCAGAGGTGCAGGGAGTGCCCGGCTGTACCCCGGTGAGCCCGGGCATTCCCCAGTGTGTCCTGGTGCACCTGGGTGTTTCTGGGTGTGCCTCGATGTGCCCAGGCGCGCCTGGGAGTACTCCGGCGTGTCTCTGTGTATGCTTGTACGCCTGAATTGGGAAATGGTAACTGTAAATGAGCACAAATTAGTAATTGATGCACATGGTGCTACACAAAAATAACATCTCTTTGGCTCTTAGCTACATTCAGGCCCAATCGTGGATGCAGCCAGTTACTGCCTCAATTATAAGAGAAGGCAAAAAAAGAAGACACTTTTCCTACTGAAATTCAGAAAATAATTTGGGACGACGACACTGATTTTGAAAAAGAATTCCAATCCTGGTGGAACCTAGTAAAATTTTACCTGTGACCTCAGCACAAACAGAGCCACAGCCTTTGTACTGACTATACATAATGTTTCAGTACATTCAATATTCCCTATCATTGCATTAGGGCTGAATCATGATGGAGCTATTCTCTATCCTTTCAAGCATAGGGAATGGGCCCGTCAGATTGGTGAGAAGTGGCAAACTGTTAATTTGGAAAATTGTATTGTCCAGGAGCAACAAGGGTTTATCTGTGAAAGTAATGGAATCAGAGCTCAAGATATTTGTTTGGACGCAGAACAAAATGTCTACAACTTTGAAATTCATCCTAATGAGACTTCTGAAACAGTACTTGTGTGTATAGGCCATGGATGTGCATGTTTGAGAACTGCTTGTGATAGTGTACTTCTAGAAAATTTAGTAGTGAATACAAAAAAATAATTTAAGTTTTTGTGTTTGTAATTTTACTAAAATTGCAGGATGTGATTTTTCTTATATAACCCCAGCAACTTCTTCTCTGGTAAAGCAGTTGTTGCTTCACCAAGATTTAACTGAAATTTTGGAAAAGTAAAAATAGGAAATCGGCCCGCATGATAAAGAAATTGACTGAAATTGTTTATTTTGATTGTGTTGTTTTAATTGAAATTGCTTATTCTTTGTAATAAGAAACTGAATGTGTATTTTAATTGAAAATTGATTATTTGCTTTTGTTTTTCCTTTTTTTTTTCCTTTATCTTTTTCCTACTTTTCTTTTTCTGTCTGATTTTCTGTCTCTGTTTACCAGGTTATGCTACCAAAATTTGACAAGAACTGAAGACTTCACAACAACACCACGAAGGAGCCCTCTTGATGACGATTGTGAGTCACGGGGTGGTGTAAGAGACAGTCCGAAGTTTCCCTCATTTGCCTCATGAGCATCGCAAGAACAGAGACTAAGACCCTGAAGACCCCAGGCGTCTTTGTGCAGGGATTCTGGCCTGGTTGAGGTGGATGCTTGCTAAGTGATTGTTTGAAGGTGTGCTCGACCTAAACCACAATAGTGATTGTTTACAGGTGTTTGCTGTGCTGCCACGGTACACTGCCTTCGTTCCTGCTGGTGAGCAAGGACTGGTGGGAGCGGCCTGTTCTGTACCTCATACCTGCTTCACAGAGCAATGGCTCTTATCACAATGGCCTGTGGATCTCCCCACCTCTTGGCCAACCACCCCTATCTTTGAAACAGACTATAAAAGTGGCTTTCTAAGTTACTTTCTTCGAGAGCGATCTCCCCACAGAAGAAGAAAACGGCACCCCCCGTCCTGTCCGTTGGTAGCTATTACCCCCCCACTTTTTCTCTCTTTGCCTCTTTATCCCTCTCCCTCTCTTCCCTGCTACTCCTTCTCTCGCTCTCATCTATCGCATAACCCGTGTTGTTAGCACTAAACTAAAAATGCATTGTTACTACTGTGATTTAAACTGAAATCCCTTGGTGTCCTTTTTGCACTCTGAGGTCAAATGAACCTCTCACGACTCCGCTTGTGTTAGCAGATCGTGACACCCACCCACACCACCCCACCCAATAGTCAAGGACCCTCTTCCTACTCTTCTGCAGGGGGACATACATACAGGGTTTCAGCTGTCCTTCCTCCCCCTTTATTTGGAGTGTTTTATTTCCAGGAGCAAACCCTAACACCCCCCCCCAGCAAAAGATTACACCCCTGCTGTTAACCCTGCTATGGGAGGTCTCAGGGACTTTTTCCCCACCTCTTCCTCTCCGCAACAACGAGAGGCCCCCTCACACTGCCTGATCTGAGGGACGCTCCCTGTATTTTGGTGTGCCAGTTCAGGCCTGTGGCCCCTGGGGTCAGTGCTACTTTCCCCCAGGGCTGACCTTGGCTGAGGGAAATGCAGAAATAAATAATGGAATCTTGAAGCAATTTGGGGATCTGGAGGACCCCCGCAGCCTGAAGGGGTGCGGGAAGGGGGGTGAGAGCAGCCACCCTAACATGGCATTTCCCCGCCAGTACCTGCTGACAAATTTGGTTTCAGCACTGGTACAGCCCCTTTACACTGGAAAGCCGCTTTTTTTTAGGGAGAGACAGGGGCCTAAGAACCTGCACCTCCCAGCCAGAGACAAGGAAGCTTTTTCACCTCCCCTCCCCCATTGGAGTGCAAGGGATTCGTGACCTCAGACTGGGCAATGGGCATTTTGTGACCTCACCCAGCTGGGTTGTGGGGTGTCTGCAACCTCCTCAATTTGAGTGCAGGGGTTTTATAATCCCCCCAGGTTGGAGTGTAGGCATTTTGCGACCCCCCCCACCCAGGTGGAGTGGGGGGCCTTATGAAACCCCAAAGACACAGTTGGGGTGTCCTTTGTTACCCCATGAAAAGTGGAGTGTGAGGGCTTTGTGACCCCCCCCCCTAATCCTCCAGTGGCAGGTGGGGACTCTGTGACTCCCACAGTTGGGCTTCAGGGGCTTTATGACCCCCTCAGTTGGGCGTGAGGTCTCTGTGAGTCCCCCCAACTTCCCAGAGTCCCCTTCAGGCAATTTTGGGGTATGGGAGGGGGCAGAGCCCTGTAAATAACCCAACTGTCCCCTGCCCCGGTGGTTTCTGTGTATTTGCAGTTTTGGGGGTCACACATTGGGGGCAGGGTCATACAGTTGGAGGGGTGGCACACAGTCAGAAGGTATCACACAGTGGGTGGCTGTCACAGCTGGTGGGGGTTCAGAGCTGAGGGGGATGCCAAAGCCTGGGTGGCGGTTACACTGTGTAGGGGTATCAAAGTCAGGGGATATTAGACATGGGGGCCGTCACACAGTTGGGGAGTGTCAGAGCTGGGGGAGGGTCACACACACCCAGTGAGGTCATACATTTGAGGGTGTTCACACAGTATGTGAAGGCTCACACAGCTGGGGAGGGGTCAGAGCTTGGTGGGGCTAGTACAGGTTGAGCAGGTGACACAGTGGGGTCACAGCTTGGAGGGGACCACAGATCAGGAGGGGGCAGAGCTGGGGGGGAGGGGGCAGAGTTGGAGGCAGGGAGTCACATAGCTGAGCAGGGGAGTTGTAACAGTCCTGGGAGGTGTCACACAGCTGGGGAGGGTCACACACGGGGAGGTTACACATACAGCCAGGGCAGGGCCCCTTTTAAGGGAGATGATGGGGCATCCTGGAGGAGTGGGCTGTAATTAAAGCCACAATAATTTATTGCAATTTAAGGCAACTCAGTACAAACCCACATAGAGACATGCAATATGGCAAGGGGGAACACAAAACACTGGGGACCCCACTGGGATCAGCCCAGGAAATTGTGGGGGGACCATGGATTTGGGGAGGCGGGTGTCTTAGGAAGGTTCATGCATCACCCTAGGGGGGCACTCCACATTTGGTGGAGGTTCCTGCATACCCCAGCTTTCTGGTCAGGATGGCGAAGACTCCCTGCCCCTTTTCTGTGGGGGCAGGACAGTCCTGGATGGGCATAGGGGGGAGTCCCATGGCCAAGAATACTCAGGCAACACCATCCCAATCCCCCTGGGAAACCCAAAAGTTGGTTTGTGGGTGTGGTGGTGGGAACCTGGATTGGGGAAGGGACCCCAGATCAGGGAGGGACCCCTAGTCCCAGATCCTTGGCAGAGTATGGCCACCTTTGGTCCCTGGATAGAGGGTCCTGGGGTAGGATGAGGGGACGTGGTATGTTGGTGGGCAGTCAGGGTGGTGGGGTTTCAGAGGACATGGGAGGGATGGGGGTGGGTTTTATGCCCCGTGCCTTCATGTAAGAGAGGAGCTGGTCAGGAATCTCAGCTAGGACTTCCCGTGCCAGCCCTGCCATGCTCAGCCCCGCACCGGGACCCCCCGACATGTAGTCACGAAATGGAACAAACTGGGGAGGCACAGGGGGGCAGAGCAGTTGAGGGAGTCCAGGGCTGGGAAGCGCCCGGAACTGTGTGCCTCACACACAGCAGCTCCGGTGTCCCCTCCCCATTCCTGATGTCCCAGTGTCCCTCACATCCAGGTATATACTAAGACCCAGTGCCCCCCCATGCCCTAATGTACTCCCACATCCCAGTGTTCCTTATTTCCCAGTATATCCCTCTTCATGTCTCAGGGCACCCCCACATCCACGTGCATCACAAGCCCCAGTGCCTCTCCATATGTCAGTGCCTCCCATTTCCCACAGCCCCCACATCCCAGTGCCCCCTCCTATTTCCCAGTACCCCCCCATGTCCCACTGCTCCCCACATCCAGGTCCATCCTGGTGCCCCAGTGCCCCCTTCATTTGTCTGCATACCCTCCTTATGTCCCAGTGTGTCCCACACCTGAGTGCTCCCCTCATTCCTCAGTGCACCCCCCTTCCCCAATACCCTCCTCCTTCATGTCCCAGTGCACCCCACATTCAGGTACATCCCATATCCCAGTGTCCCATTCCAACGTCCCAGCATTCCCCCATGTCCCATTGCCTCCTAACATCCCAGGCTCCCCCCACATCCAGCCCCCTGCCAAATGTCTTAGTACATCCCCCTTCACGTCCCAGTGCAACTCCATATCCCAGTACATGCCCCTCCATGTCCCAGTGCCCCTCCATTTTCCAGTACCAACCCCTTTCATGCCAAAGTGCCCCTCATAACCTAAAAAACTCCCATGTCCCACTGCACTCCCACTCCAAGGTATGCTCCAAATGTCAGCGCACCCATTTTTCCCAGTGAAGGCTCCCACCATGTATCAGTGCACCCAATGTCCCAGTGCCTCCCCACAGTGAGGTACATTCCAAACCCCAGTGCACTCATTTTTCCCAGTGAATCTCTCTCATGTCACAGCGCACTGTCTCTCTATCCCGGCACACCCCTAACATCCCAATCCCCTCCCCATTTCCCAGTAAACCTCTTTTCACATCCTATTGTCTCCTTCATATCTCAGTGCCCCCCATATCCTAATATGCTTGCTCCCATGTCCCACTGCACCCTCATTCCAAAGTACAACCCAAGCCCCAGAGCACCCTCTTTTCCTAGTGACCACCCCCCCATGTCCCAGTGCACCCCCAAATCCCAGTGCATCCCCCCATCCAGTTGCATCCCAAACCCATTGCATCCCCTTGTCTCAGTGCATCCTCCTCATGTCCCAGTGCCCCCCCAAATGCCAGTGCTGCCCAATGTCCCAGTCCACCTTATCATCCCTACACACCAGTCCCACCCACGGCGCCCCAGGAATAATGGGGCTGAAGTCCCCTGCTGGGTGGGCTGGGAAGGGGTCTCCCAAATCCCTCATTGGTGAGGTCAGTACCTGGACAATATCACGCTCAGCCACTTTCCCACGGGAAGAGATGCGGATGTCATCCCCATCCAGCTCCACCATGGCTGGGGGTGATGCGGGGGGGAAGTCAGCAGCACCTCAGTGTCCCCCACCCCAGGGTGGGATCCCAATATGTCCCTTTCAACCCAACACCCAGAACCCCCAAGCCCCCTTGCTGGAGTATGCTGAGCCCATTCATTTACTGACACATTCAACTCATACATAGTTCCAGTGGCCAAGAGACCCCCCACCCGATCCCTCAGCCTTCCCTTAGTTCCCCACTGCCTCCATATCTTACCATCGAACTCAGCCTGGCCGACTCCCACGATGATGATGGACATGGGCAATTTTGCAGCCTGAGGGAGCCGGGGGGTGAAGGGAGTCCCATGAAATGTAATGATGTTGTTACCAAATGAGCTGCTCCCCCCTGCCCACAGAACCCAGGACTGCCAACAGCCCCTCCCCTTAGGATTACTGTCCCTCCCTACCCCCCATCACCCAAGGGTCTCAGACCTCCCCACTGGCACCGGGGGGTTCCAGGAACTTTCCAACCCCCTTGCAGCACCCAGTGGTTCCAGACATCCCTACTCCCCAAACCCTGGGGGTCCCAGCCCCTTCTCAATGCCAGGGATTGCACCCTCATTCCAAGATACATCCCAAGCCCCAGGGCACCCTCTTTTCCTAGTGACCACCCCCCCATGTCCCAGTGCACCCCCAAATCCCAGTGCATCCCCCCATCCAGTTGCATCCCAAACCCATTGCATTCCCTTGTCTCAGTGCATCCTCCTCATGTCCCAGTGCCCCCCCAAATGCCAGTGCTGCCCAATGTCCCAGTCCACCTTATCATCCCTACACACCAGTCCCACCCACGGTGCCCCAGGAATAATGGGGCTGAAGTCCCCTGCTGGGTGGGCTGGGAAAGGGTCTCCCAAATCCCTCATTGGTGAGGTCAGTACCTGGACCAAGCCCTTTCCCACCTCTCAATGGTCCCAGTCCCTCCTCACTACCTCCAGCACACAGGCATCCATACACCCTCCCAGCACCCAGGGCTGCCAGCCCCTTCCCCACCCCTCCAGTATGCAAGGGTCCCAACCCATCCCCTCCCTTCTCAGCTTCAGCGTCCCAGCCCACCCCATCACCCAAAGGATCCCAGCCACTCCCCATCCCTCAGAATCAGGTCCCCAACCTTTCCTACTCCCTCAAGGGTCTCAATCCCTCCCCACTGCCCCCATCACCCAAGGGTCCCAGGTTCCCCACCCCCAGCATCCAGGGTCGCTACCACCTGCCGCAGTGCCACCATGAGGGTCTCACATTGACAATGGCCTCCTTGGTTTGGGCCATATCAGAGATGACACCATCGGTGATGATGAGGAGGACGAAGTACTGGGACCCATCCAGCACCATGGCCGCCGAGCTGGGGGAACCCTCTATGACGCTGGGGGGTTCAGGGACCCCACCCCAGGGCATGGGGCCCCTCTTACCGGGCAACATGGTTGACAACAGGGGCGAAGTTGGTGGGGCCATAGAGCTGGACACGGCGCAGGCTGCGCTGATAAGCCTCCAGCACCCCCGCAATGCCACAGCACGCTGGGTTTGATGCATCCCCATTCTGACAGTGTGACAGACCCTAGTGTCAGACAGACCCTCTGACACCCTAGTGATGGGGTCACCAGGACCATGGTGGCACCAAGGCCTCCACCCATGGACAGGGTGACACCACAGACCTCACCCACAGACAAGGATGGTAGTGCCATGGCCCCCAAATGCTAACAAGGATAATCCCACTATGCCCACAATATAGTGACAAGGGAGACACCAACATATTCCCAACTCACTGTAAAGCATGACACTGCCATGGCCCCAACCCAGTGACAAAACGATGATGCCACTATGTTCCCAACCCAAAACAAGGATGACACTAGCACATCCCCAGTCCAGATCCAACCCAAACACACTATGTACCCAAACTGGTGACAAGGAGAACACCAAGCACATTCCTAATCTGCTAACAAGGATGACGCTGCCATGGCCCCAGATCAGTGACAAGGATGACACCACCACAGCAGCAACCCAAGGACAAGGATGATACCACTGTGTCACAAACAATGTGACAAGATGATCCCATCATGTCCCCAGCTGGCTGACAAGGACACCACCCTTCATCCACAGTCCTATCCCGCCATGGCCCCTCACCAGTGGGAATTCATGGGACACGTGCCCATCCGGAGGGACCTTGGCGCCAAAGCCAAGGGCTGGGAACATCTTGTCACTGTCGTAGTCCTGGATGATGTCCCCCACAGCCCGCAGTGCCAGGCTGTAGGCGTTCAGCTGGAAGGGGCTCAGGTAGTGCAGGGACGTGGGCTGCGAGGGGTTCCCTGCACAGGCATGGGGCTCAGCACCTCCACAGCCTCCCCAGCACTGTCATAATCTGCCAAGCACCCCAAAACACCGCAAACATTCCCACAACCATGGCACCACTATGGCCCCAGCCCAGTGGCAAGGATGATGGCATCCCCAACATGGTGACAAAGACAAGGATGATCCCACCATGTCTCAAAATGCCACCATGTCCCCAAACAAGTGACAAGGGTGACACTGCCATATTCCAAACTTGTTGACAAGGGTGATGCCACCACATTCTCAGCCTGGTGACAGCTGGTGACAAGGATGACACCACCATGGAACCAACAGAGTAACAAGGATGACACTGCCATGACTCCAACCCAGTGACAAGAATGGCACCACTCTGTCCCAAATTCAATGACAATGATGATGGCACCAAATCCCCAACCCAGTGACAGCTGGTGACAAATACGACACCCTTGTACCAACACAGTGACAAAAATAGCACTGCCATGACCCCAAACCCCCAACAAGGACAATGCCATCATGACACCAACCCAGTGACAAGGGAGACATGACCATGTCCCCAGCACAACTACAAGGACAACACCATGTCCCCAAATCAGTGACAAGGATGACACCACCATGACACTAAACTGGTTACAACTGTCTCAAGCTGTCTCAAATAAATCCCCCCTTGGGGGGACAAACCCCCTACTCGCCATTGGATGCCGTGAAATCGATGGCCACTGTGAAGTTGAGTTGGGTCCTGGGGGATAAAGTGGCATTGGGGTGGCACAGGGGGTGTTCAGGGACACCCCTGGGGCCACAGGCTGGACTGGGTACACCCATCCCCCAATTCAGAGGGCTCTCAAGTGTCCCTGCACTGTCACCATGCTTCACCTAACGGAGGGGCTGGGGGCGCTGGGGACCCCCAAATGACCAATTTGGGGTACTGGGGTGCCCCTGCCAATGAGGAAGCATCTGTGTGGGGGTGCTGAGGACCCCCAGTGAAGAAGATGGGGGTGCTGGGGACCCCAAAGGGAGCTGTTAGAAGTGCTGGAGACTTACAAAGGGAGCAATTCTGGGTTCTGGGGATGACCAATGAAGTGGTTGTGGGTGATAGGGATGGCCTGCCCCCAAGGAAGCATCTGGGTGGAGTTGCTGAGACCCCCAATGGAGGAGCTAGGTGTGCTGACGACCCCCAGTGGAGAAACTCGGGGTATTGGGGATCCCAAAAGAAGGAGCTGAGGAACAACTTAGCAGGAACACCCCACCCCGCATCTCCAAGGGAGCAACAGTGGTACTGGAGACCTCCAAGGGAGGAGATAAGGGTCCAGGGGACACCCCTGCCAGTGAAGTAGAGGCTGGGGGTGTTGGGGATTCCCTGCCCTTGAGGGAGCAGCTTAGGGTGCTGGGTACCCCCAAGGAAGGAGCTGGGGGTGTTCAGGACCCTCAAAAGTGCAGCTTGAGGTGCTGGGGACCCCCTGCTCACCCGCCCCTGATGTAGTCCAGGAAGGTGTGTTCAGCCTCCACAGTGAAGGAAAGCAGTGTTACCTGTGGGGACATGGGTCTCAGGGGAGGAAGCGCCCACACCCTCTGTGTCCCCCACCTCTGCACATCCCCATCCTCACTGTCCCCGAGTTCAGGTACTTCTTCTTCTTCATCTTCTTCCGGGGGTTCACCACCTGCAGGGATGGGAGGGGAGGGAAGGGGGCTGCTTCTCACAGGGAGAGGAGTCCCCAGAGAGCAGTGTAAGGGACTATCACATCCCAGGGCACAGGGGGGCACAGAATATACTGGGGAGCAGCAGTGGGAGCACTGTGCTGAGGTGCAGAGAGGGACCTTGAAGAGGTCCTGGTGGGCTGTGACACCCAGGGGTGCATGTGGGGACCCTGGGGATTGTAGTGCAGCTGGAGATCCATGGCAGGGGCTGGGGACCCTCAAGGGAGCAGTTGTGGGTGATACATGCCAGGGTGCAGCATGGGAACCATAACACCCCAGGGGTGAAGTGTGGGGCTTTAGTACAGGGAATCCTAGAGATTGTAAACCTCTATTGTCTGCAGCATGAGTACCCTGGGCGTCATGACACCTCAGAGTGCAGGAGAGGGGTCCTTGGGTACATGACACACCAGTGTGCAACGTTGGGAAGGACTCTGGGGACCATAACACCCCAGGACTGCATCATGGGGACCCTGGGGTATGTAGCAGACACACAGGGACCCTGGGACCCAGAGGTGTAGCAGAGAGAGGGACCCTGGGGACCATAACCCCTGGAGGTGCTGCAGTGGGACTGTGACCCCCACAGAGGGTTGCAGGACCGTGCTCCCCACCACCCATGTACCCATTCCTCCATACCTCATACACATTGAAGTGGCTCTGGCCTCGTGCCAACTCCCGGTAGCTGGTGGTGAACTCCCCAATGAAGTCGTGGCTGCAAGGCGGGTGGTTCTTCATCAGCGGGGTTAGGGAGGTTCCCATTACCCAGGGGAATCCCCATCACTCAGGGGTGTGGGGATGGGGGGTTTCCCATTGCCCAGGAAGTTTCCCATCAACCAGGGAGTCCCAAATAGTCAGGGGGGATTCCCATCACCTAGGGGGAGGATTTCCATCTCTCCTTGGACACAGGGGTGAGGGGGTCCCCATCACTCAGGGAGTCCCTGTCACCGGGAGGTGCAGGTCCAGGGGGTCCCCAGGGGGTCCCCAGGATCACAAACAGCTCACCTGCCATCACGGTCCCAGTCATATACCTCCACCTTGATGGCTCTGCAAAGCGTGGGGGGAGGGGGGGTCACCAACACCCCCCAACACCCCCAAATCCCATCCTCCCCCTTCCCCAGGGGCCCATCACACACAACCCCCCCACTCCCTGTGGGATTTGTTTTGATGCCTCTGTGGGCTTTTTCCTGCTTCCTCCTCCTCCTCGTTTGGATATTTTTATCCATTGTTGCCACAGCAACGTCCAACACGGGGCCAAAGCTGCGTGAGGAGATGTTTGCCAGGGCAGCAGCTTGTGACACTGTTTTGGGATTGGGTGGGGGGGATGGCTCGGCGACAGCTGTGATGCCCATTGCCCAGATGGGTAAACTGAGGCAAAAGCAGATAACACTGGGGAAAGGGGGTGGGTGCTACTGGTACCACAGAGATGGGGAAAGGGGTTCTGAGGGTCTCAGATGGCCACAGAGATGGGGGGAAGGGGTTCTCAAGGGGCCACAGAGAGGGTGGAAGGACTGCAGGGGTTCCAGAGGTACCACAGAGATGGGGAAGGAGATGCAGGGGTATTTGGAACCACAGAGATGGGGGGAAAGGTGTAAAGAGGGTCCTGGGGTACCACAGACACAGGGGAAAGGATTTTGGGGGACCACAGTGAGAGGGAAAGGTGGTCCTAGGGTACCATGGGCATAGAGTGATGGGGGGTCTAGAAGTCCAGAGGTACCATAGAGATGGGGACATGGGGTACAGGAGTTCCTGGAGGACCTGGGAGATGGGGAAAAGAAGGAAAAGGGGTTCCTGGGGGCCCATAGAGATGAGGGGACAGGGGGAAGAGGGTCCTAGAGGACCATAGAGACAGGGAATGGGGCTGCACGGCATCCTGGGGCACCATGGGTGGGGGGGGAAGGGGGTTCAGAGGACCACAGAGATGGGAGTGCAGGGTATGACCCTATCCTGGTATCCCGATATCCCCGGTTATGACAGAGATGAGGGAAGGGGATGCCCTAGTGGACCCTAGAGATGGGGAGAAAAGGGGGAAGGAGATCTCTGGGGACAAAGAGGGGGTGCAGGGTGTCCCAGTCCCCCGGCACTCACCGGTCATGGTCCCCGTTGCAGAGGGCACGCACAGGAATGGCAAAGGCTGCCCAGACAGGGTTCAGTGTATTCCGCACCACTTCTGTCTTGTGGCAGATGGTAAAACTGGGGAGAGGACAAGAGGAGCACAAGGGGGGTCACTCCCCCATCCCAACACTCCCCCAGTCTCTCACCCCTACAGTGCAGTGAGGATTTTTTTTTTTTTCACCCCTCGCCAACACCAGCCCATGGGGACATAGAGGTCCTGTTCTGGGGCTGAGCCCTCCCATGAGGCGTGAGAGGGTCACTGCGGTTTTGAGGGGGAGGTCGCTCACGTCCCGTCTTCGTTGCTGCGGTAGAAGACCATGAAGGGGTCAGATTTTCCAAAGAAATCCTTCTTATCCAGCTTGTTGGCGCAGAACTGGAGTGTGGCCACATCCTGGGGGGTGGAATCAGGGGGCAGTCATCCACCCTGCACCCCCCTCAGAGGTTGTATCCTGCGGGGTGGCTGCTCCATGAGGGAAGAAGGGATCCAGGATAGGCAGAATAAAGTGTGGGGATAGACAGCCTTCTTCTTTGGGATGCGGGCTAGGGTGTCTCAGCCACCCCCGATATTGCAGGGTCCCCAAGATCCCCCCGCCCCTGCCCTGCTGCAGCTCACCCGGCAGTTTCCCAGCTCTTCAGCAAGGAGTATGATGGTGCCGCACTTCTTCCCCAGAATGCCACTGCCGGGATGGGATGTGAGCATGGCAGGGGCACACATGGTGTTCTGGGGGTGTTCCCCACACACTGGGCACCCCAAAACTTACCCGTTGGAGGCGGCTGGGGTGGGTCTCCTGCCCCGGGGGTGCATGGTGACTGTCCCCATCCTGCAGGGACACATGCTGAAGGATGATGGAGGGGATCCCCGCCCAAGAAAAAGCCCCCCCTCCCAATAAAAGGAGGTCTACAAAA